GATATAAACATTCTAAACCAAATTTTAGAAAATTATACTTGATTTCTATTGTTGCAATCACAAATTACCAGGAACTTAGTGGCTTAAAACAGATAAAATTAGTTCTTGCACCATTCTAGGTGTCCAAAGTCATTCACTGGGTTAAAGTCAACGTGTTGAGAGGGCTGGTTCTTTCCAGGGGCTCTGGCAGAGAATGTTGCCTTGCCTTTCCCAGTCTCTAACAGCCACCGACATTCTTTGGCTCTTGGCCTTTTCCTCCATATCTAAAGCCAGTACCGTAGCATCTTCAAATTTCTCTGTGCCTCAGCTTCAGGGGGAACATAACTCTTTCTCTGACTCTAATTCCACCTGCCTCTCCTTCTTATAAGAACCCTTGAAGTTTCAATGGGCCCACGTGGATAATCCAAGATGATCTTCCCACTCAAGAACCTTGAGTTAGTCACATTTGCAAAGTTTCTTGCCATCCGCGGTAACAAATTCACAGTTTTCAGGGATAGAGAGGGGAACATCTTGAGGGGCCACTTTCAGCCTGCCATACTTCCTTTTTTTATACTGTCTTTGGTTCTAGTATCAAGATAATAGTCTGCAGTCTCATTTTCATCTTTGTAACAAATTTCTGCTGTGATGAGACATTACATTTTAAATTTAGTGATTTTTTTCCTTACTATTGCTTTCCTGTGAGTTGGAAATACTGTGGGAAGTACTTACTCTGATGATGTTACTATATGTTGCATTCTTTTAGCATAGGTATAGTGTCATCACATAATAAACACAACGCTTTGCCATATAATTCAGTAACAAAATAATCTACACTTCATTATGCCTTAAATGTGTGACATTTGATGGTCATTTCTGTCTTCTTTTCTTGTTTTGCTATGAATCGCACTGATATTTTAAAAAATTATAGCAAGGCAGCATGTGTGGCACCTGAAATGCTGTCAAGTTGTAACCATACTGTTGTGATCTGTCATGTGCCAGGCAGTGGTACAAAGTGACAAGAGCTCCACAGTCTCCACAATAAAACTCTACTGTAATGTGAAAGCAACCATAAACAATGCATAAAGGAATACACATCACTGTGTTCCAATAAAACTTTATTGATGGACACCAAAATTTAGATTTTATGTAATTTTCACATGCTAAAAAATATTATTATCTTCTTTTAAAAAATCATTTAATAATGTAAAAAGCATTCTTAGTTTGTAGGCCATACATAGCAGGTGACAGGACAGGTTTGGCCAATCCCCACATTATTTTCAGGGGGCCTACATTCGAAAGGGGGAGAAGGAGAAAACAGGAAAATTAGTAAGTGAACAGATAGACAATTTTGTGCTATAAGGAAATTAAACAGTAGTATGGCCAGAGAATGTGGCCCTGAGGGAGAGGGAAAGGGGAACTCAAATGACGAGAAGGAGGCAGCCATAAGGAAAGCAGGGCATGGAGTATTTTCATAACAGAGAATTCCAAGGGCAAATGTGGAAGGCAAGCATAAGTTTGGTGAATCAGAAGAACCAAAAAGGTATGGAAGGAACACAGCAAAGAGGTAAAATGAGGTGGGAATATTTACGAATCTAAATAAGGATGACATCACTGTTAAAAATGGAATTTTAGTTCAAAACAGTAGGAGTTTTGTTAGGTCTAGTCTGGGCTTGTGGTCTCTTGCTAATATTCCACGACCATGCAAAGTACAGTATTGTGAATTTAAAAGAGAGAGAAAAGATGTTTTTATTTTTGCCAAATAGTTTAGAAAAATGCAGTATCACCTATGTAATCCAATATGTCAATAAGAACAGATGAAATTGGATCACATGGTTTATTCCATTAAATGCTCATCCTTAAGTTACGATGCATTTCATATTTGCTTAAAATACAAACGTGCTGCTCACTGGATCATGTATGCCCATTTATAGCAATTTAATGTAAGAAGTCCACTTTTTTTACAACACTTAAAACATTAAGTTCTTAGTTCACACTTTCTTTTTTTATGCTCAAAGCGATTTGTTTGTGCTAAGCTAGTTCCAGTTTCTTTTAATTCACTGGAAGGAAAATTATTTTTAAGTTTTCATTGATTTGTGGCAATATTTGCATTCAACAAACAAATGCTACATGGTTTTGTCTTAAATGGCTATGCACTTAATTAGTTTCACTTATTCAGCAGTTCGTTTCAGAGACTTCTTATTTTAGTATTGAACCTAACTATTGATAGTTGGAGCAGAATACTGTATCAGGATTGCAATGAACATTTTTCCCAATCACACCACATAAAAAGTTTTCACATTTGAGATAAAGCTCTCTGTTTTAATATCATCTAATATCTTTCATAATTGTGAAATATACTTCAACTAGTTTCTTTTTTTCATTTATTTTCTCCAGTACTGCTTCTAGTAAAGATGTGGCAAAAGGAAGCTGTAAGAAAAACACAAATAAAACTATTATTAAAACTCTATATATTTTCTTCAGTTAAAAACATATACTAAATATCATTAAGCCATTAGAACTCAGCTATCTGCAACTCTGCACCCATAATGGTACACTACTGGGTCTCTTTTCAACTGATCTTGCTGGTTCGTGTAGGTAATTTTGTCTTTTCTAATAAAAATGATAAAAGAGCAGAGTAAAATGAAAAAAGATAAACGCCTTATTGAACAATTCATGGTTTACTGACCATGTTAATGATATAATCTGCAATACAAGCAACTAAGCCATTTATCTTCAATCAGCTGATCAATAGCAGGTTACAGTCATCTCTAGGGCACACAGGCCCACAGAAGTAGTACTGTATGCTCATTACTCATAAAAGAATGAGAGAGAACTATCAATACACTTGTCTGTGTTAGAGCCGAACATCTCAAGAGTTGTAAGGTAAGAACTTCAGAGGAGAAAAATGACAAAAGTATACCCATTGATTAAGTTGTTATAGAAAAGTTGTTTGGCATATCAAAGTGTAATACACATGTTGCAAACTGCTGAGTTTATGAAATATAGAGTACATTTTTACATTTCATAATTTATATAACTTTTCTGAAAACTTTTATTGTTCTCTCTTCTTCACTGGGTTGCCTGTAGAACTCCAACTCATATAAGACTGTTATGGGCAATAAGTAAATGAAAACATGAAATATTTTACCCCAATTATTTTCCATGGATGTACCAGCTTCCTTCATCCTTGTTCCCAAATACCTAGTTTCACATACGAGTTTTTTCTTAATTAAGATATTCATTAAGTCAATTTTGGACTTGTCCTTTGTATCAACCAAGGAAAGACTACTTTTCTTTCCCTGGTATATTCATGAGAATGCTTGTTATGCCTCTCCCTCACTAGAGGGAAGTAGCATCAGGCCCTTTTTTGCTGGGATGACCATTAACAGCATCACT